TAGCCTGGGTGCCAAACCCATAGCACACTGGACACAAATAAAGTACCTCATTGAGATACTTTGTGTCCAGTGTGCTATGGGTCTGGCAAACAGGCTATACTATGTCCAGTATGCTATCGGTTTGGCACCCAGGCTACACGAAAGCTGGTTCACTGGGATAACCAAAAGGTCAGACTATCCTTGGAACAACAAAGACCTCACTGGTGTTCAGTCCCAGTGGGATGTCTCAGCACACTCACTCAGGGCTGGCATGGCTGGGGTTAGGCTGAGGTCACAGAAAAGAAAGGTGCCATATCATATGTCATTGAGTCTCCATGTTCTCAATGTCAGGCAATCTGTTCTGTCAGGAACTGGGAAGAGTACAACTATAGTTCTACCCTTTAAAGAGGGCCTGCAAGGGGGGGGGGGTCCGGACAACGCTCTACGCTGAATTCGGAAACCCTCGATTACGCTTTACGATAACTTCCAAATGGCTACAACGCATTACGTAGAACTAAAACGGCGAATACGCTATACGTAGGATTAAAACGGACAATTACGCTCTACGGAAAAGGGCTTGCGGGGCCCCCTTTAACTTATTATAGGACCTACATTATAAGGCAAGTTGGGTTTAAAATTGCAGAGATCTCTAGATATGGGAGGTCAGTCCCAAATTATACTGGAGAGTGTTTCCTGCGCACTAGAGCAAGCTGGAAGATTTGATGGCTATGCCAAATTTTGTACACACGGGGGTTCTAGGAATACCAGACGAGTATATTGAGAATGTGGTCACTTAAAAAACAACTTCAAAACAGTCAGGTTTTTTTATTACTAGTATGTCTTTCCACGTTTGTCTTTCTACATTTCCTGTTCACAACAACATGCCCCCAAGGAAATTACACAACAGCCCCCCTCAGTTAGCACTTAAACTCTGGGAAGGAAATAGTGTTCTGTTGTACACAGTACAGGAACTTTAATCTGCAACTAAATGTTGCAGTGTAGACATTGTTGGATATTAGAGCCTCGCCTTATAATTAGTAACATAATGCTACAGTACAAGCAACATTCCAGTCAAAGGTTTTGGAAATAAAATGCTGGCTCAGAGATCCAGCCCCAGGGAGCACTGTTTGTTTAAGGGGATAGCCATTTCACAGCCATGAGACTTCCAGCTATAATAGATATGGATACTAGACTAACACCTAATTATATTAGCTCCATGATATGGCAAATCAGATTTGAAAGGAAGGGTTGGTGAAATTGTAGCCTCCACATCTGACCAGTATTATGAAATACATTACATGTAACATTACTACACTGATTGTTACCAAGGATAGCAAGTGGTCATAACCAAGCAATGACAAAAAAAGCATGTCTCAGAAATAAGCTATTTGAGCTGTGAACCATCCCGAGGCGGGCCTAGTCATTTGAAGGGGAAACACACTTCTCCATACAAGTACAGGTACATGTAGGGAAGGCCCTGTGTGCTTAACACAAAATGCGGGATATGGCAGAGCTTTTACTGTATTAGCATTAGAAGAATGTGGAGACTTCTGAGTCACCCTGCTATTTTCATTGACAACCCAAGGTGTTCTTCAGAGTTCTATCTCAGCCAGAGAGCAGGCACATGGGAGAGCCTGCATGGGAGGCTTTGATACAAATCAATCTGTCATGCCCTGTTACCAATTAATCCTTAAGTAAATACATGAAACAGCTTCTGGTTTTTCAGGCTGCTTAGCTGCTGCCTATCAGGAAACACACTTCTCCATTCAAGTACAGAAAGGCCTGGCCCTCTGTGAAAAGGTGGGATTATTGGCAGAGTTTGGCATTTAGCATTTAGCAGAATGTGGAGATATGACTATGGAGAAATTTTTTTTCCCTTATCAATAGCTTCTACATGTGTGTACATGTAAGGTATAAATTTCTGAACCCTTACATACAGAGCTCTGATGGAACTGGTGTTTCATACCATACATGTAGATGACTATTGTTCCTATTGGGTTCTAACTGCACAAGCTAAACTTGGTACAAGACTGCCATGCAAGTTGCAATAAAGTCAAAGTTATCGAAGGCTTTTTCAACTGTGTTAGGTTAACATAAAATTCCCTTTCAAACCTCTGTCACATAGTCGAAATACAAGGGAAACACAGGGGAAACACTCTGGACAGAAGAGGTGTTTCCTCTGTGTGTCCTCTCCTTTTTCCCTCTTCAGAGGGTCCCTAATGTTTGTTTTAGAGGAGGTATAGTGGAAGGGTTTCCAATGTGTTTCCTTCTCGCCAATTAGAGACTGTGTTTCCAGTGTGTTTCCTCTGTGTGTCCTGGTAATTAATCACTTCTAGGAGCAGAGCCCAGCAAAGCTGAAGGACAGCAGGCTCCTGCCTTATCCCTGGGGCTTGTTATGGGTGAAAAATCAATTATCCATGCACTGCCAAGGCATAGACAGAACTGTTACAGTGAATGAATGTATAGTGGTGCCATGACAGACCACCTGACCATGTGGTCACAGGATACAGACTATCATTTTTGTCCCTTACTGTGTGTTCTAAGGAACTAGAAGGACCAATTCTCTTTCAAGGCAATGCATATCCATCCAGATACAGATTTAGAAACACTGGTGAAAGAACGCAGTTACAAATGTACTTGATTTATCTGCCCCTTGTACTCCTTGTATACATATGTAACTACAGGCAAAAATTTGGAACAATGAAGACATTGTTTCATTTTGTATATATGTAGGCGAGGGGCTGAGGTCTGTCTGATATTGCAACACAATTTCTGAAAATATAACAGGTGTAAAGGGGGAACAACAACCAGTACCTCAGACTGTAGACAGTTTTAGGTCAGTCAGGGCAGCTTTAGAGGCCTTAGGAGGTCAAGCTGTCAAATGTTGCAGGGAACAAGTAATTACATGTAACACTGGTCACTGGCTATGCCTGATTTTCTGCTCCAGTCAGAATCCCGTGACAGCTCCTTGTGTTTCCATGGGCGGAGAAGTTGGTAACGGATTATCTGTATGTTTCCACTGTGTTTCCTGTGTGTTTCCTTCTGTGCAACAATGGAAACATAGGGGAAACACATTCTAGTGTGTTTCCACTGTACGACATAGGTTTGCGAGTGATTACAGTCTTCATGAATGGTGGTACGCACATGTTAGAGACAACCATAAAAGTCTCTCCATGTTTGTTGGTTGTACAACAAAGACCTGATCTAAATACTGTAACACATGGGCAAAAACCTGACATACGAAAACTGTGTGCTCAAGTGAGCATACAAAAACTGGGCATGTTGGATTATTGTCAAAAATCTAAATCAATTAAAAGTTCTCCCAAAATGGACGTGCAGGTTACATTTGTGGACCTCACGTGTGCCTTTAATACAATAGGCCATGGCGGTCTCCTCCACAGTTTGTCATGCGTAGGGATAAGACACGACTTATGGCGGCATCTGAACAGTTACCTGAGCAAAAATATTGTCTTCAATGCGAGAATTGGGGAATGAGCATCTCTGCAGCTAAAGCCATTCTTGCAGGCACACCTCAGGAGGGAATTCTTTCACCAACACTCTTCATCATAGCGATTAACAACCTAGACTCTGGGATCCCGCCCAATGTCACACCTGTGAAATATTCCTGATGGCATCTTTACCACATGTTAGAGACAACTGGTGTGTTACGCCAAAAGGCGGTTATACCGGCTATACAGATACAGATACCAGGACAAATGCAAACTATTTAAGTCTCACTGGACAGTGTAGACTCATGGGCAAATTCATATTTTTGAATGAAGGCGAATGCAAATAAGGACCAGGTGACATGGTCATCAGTTGCCGTCAAAATTCAGTTATACCTCCACGACTTACATTTTGTACATTAAGGGGCGAAACCGTTGAGAGGGTCTCTTTATAATTATAAGCTCCTTGGAGTAGTCGACAGATTTACACAATGTCATAGGTAAAAGTTGATGTACAGTTTTCGTGCACTTTTGTACTGCATGTACAGAGTTTTCATACTGTCAGGTTTTTGCCCACATGTAAATTGGGACTTTTGTGGACGGTCAGACGGCTTAAGCTTCCTGCCACGTAACGGGACTGAGGATGAGGAGAAAACAGGGTCTTTGAGCTGTTGCAGCGGCAAACATGGCTGGCACAATCTAACTTTGCAAGCATTACAATGATATGACAGCAAAACCACAGTGTAACTTGGAAAATCCCATGTGTATTATTACGCACTAAGAACTATCATGCATATTTATGCATAACCCTAAAAACACTTATGCATAATTATGCATAATTATGCATAACCCTGAGAACAGTTATGCATAATTATGCATAACCCTAGCAAGCCTTATGAACAATTATGCATAACTGTTTGAAGAATTATGCATAACCCTTGACCATTATGCATAATTATGCATAACCTTCAAACCTATGCATAATTATGCATAATTATGCATAATGTTGCAAATTTAGATTAATCCCACGGGGCGAATCAATGGTGGCTACGTATTTCTTACATCATTTTTACCTATAGTTTGCAATTTTAGCCCATCAGGGTGTAAGGTGGCTGAGATATGGGAGGCCAGTCCGGAATTAAACTGGAAGTCCAGAATTAAACTGGAGGCTGTTTTTTAGTGAAGATTTCAAGTCTTTGTGTTAGTGTTACTGAAAGCTTGGTATACATAACCAAAAATTGATGTCAAAGTTACCATTCACAGTCAAGGTAACCTTTATAGTCTAGTTTTTTGACATGTCATTATAAAACATTGATAAGTGCACTTTGAAATTTTTATGTAGACTTGAATTAATCTTAAGAAACTCTTTGTGTAGTTACAAGAATTGATTCTATGATGGTACTTGATTAATACAAAAAACATCCCCCTCTATCATGTTCAGCTATCTTAGAAACCTATACGGGCTATGTGAAAACACTATATTTATATCACTGTTATTGTACATATCGACTTTGTCACCCTAGATAAACCTTCATTTATTCATTCATTTATTCCTTTCTTCACTCACCTATCCAGGTGCTGGTGATGGGCAAGCCTGGCCCCCCCATGGGTCTGCAGATACAGGAGACGACCCCCGAGACTTGCACCGTCTCCTGGCAACCACCGGAGGACGACGGAGGAGCGGGCGTCACCAATTACGTCATCGAGAAGATGGACCTCAAGACCAAGAACTGAAAGAAGGTACACTGATGTTCTCTGTTTCTTTACTCAGTCTGATTAACCTTTGTAGATATGTGTGCTTTCTTTACTCAATCTGATTGAACTTTTGTAATGTGTTTGGCTAAAACTTCAATCTTACATGTACATCTTTTTCATCTTGTAGCAGTACAAGTTGCTATGGTGTTGTCTTACCATAGGAACTACCCTATCTCCTTAACATATCTATGACTCTTGTCTTTGGCATGTTCAATCGGTTTTTCCTGTTGCTCACATATATAATTCACAAGTTCTGTTAGTTCATTAGTGTTGCTGAAGAAGAGTGATGGATGTCACTCGAAACATCTGGAAATCTCCGTAATTTATCTTGATTCGTTTCTTCGCTCATCTTGTTTGCTTTCTTTAATTCTCCAGGTTTCTGGAGCTGTGAGGAAGACCACCTTCAAGATTCCGAAGCTGATTCCGTTTAACAAGTACCAGTTCCGCGTCAGCGCGCAGAACATGTTCGGAGTGGGCGATCCGGCTACAACCGGCAATGTGCTCTCCCGCCATCCATTTGGTACGTCGAGCTATAGACTTCTTTTCCTATACAATTACAAATGATCTTTTATGAGGTTTTATGAGGTGAGGAGGAAAATTAAAGTGCATGTCAAGTTTAAGGGGCTGGCAGTAGCTAGTAGAATCTTGAAATTGAAGCATTAGCAAGGTTTTTATACTCTAATCAGGACCAACTAATAAATAAAAGTATACTTAACTTTTCACTTGAAATTGAATGTTTCATTTTATTTATCTATTTTACCATTAGATCACACTCAGGTCTTTGACCTGCTGCTTTTAAGGCGTCCCTGGCACCTCCTTCAAAGCAGACACAAGAAGTAGAACAACTTACACAACTTAACTGATTTTACTTCTCCACAGACACCCCCGGGCCGCCTGTCCATGTGCAGGTCCGCGAGATCACCAGGGAGAGCCTGAAGCTGCTCTGGTCCCCGCCCGAGAACGACGGCGGCTCCGAGATCGTCGGCTTCCTGGTGGAGAGGAAGGAGAAGACCAGCGTCCGCTGGGAGCGCCTGAACAAGGTAGTGTGTAGTACCTGTAGTGTTTGTTGTACCTGTTGCATTCTTAATCCAGTGGTTAGCGACCCTGCCTCTGGATTAAGAGGTTGGGAGTTCGAATCCCGACTGTTGTCGCTCGCCTGACATACACGCTACAAAAATAATCCTAAGGCCTGTGTTTTTCTCTAAGGGAATGTTTTTAAGTAGTTGACATTATTTGTATTAAGTGTAGACCATAGGTTCAACACATGGACCCTGTTGGTATGTGGGGCCTTAATGGCTGACCATGCTTTTCTCTCTAAGGCAGTTTTAACTAGTGCTACTGTTGACATCCTTTGTAGCTACATGTATCAGTAACACAGAGCCAGTTGTTATTAAGGGACTTCGTGGTTGAAACAAATAAGCATCCTGTTTTCCTGTAACTAGTTGGCTTTCTTCATGTTTAGTGGAGTACACTGTAAGTTTAAGAGAAGGGCCTAACTTGAAGCATCATATTTTTTTCTTGAGAGAGCTCTACAACAGTTTTAACTCATTGATATTCTTTGTCTTGAGTACAGCAGAGTACAAGTTCAACACAAGGACACTTTTGTTATGTTGGGACTTTATTTTCAAAACTTCTTGCACTTCTCCCCAGACCAAGAGATAAGCATGATCCTGTTTTCTGTGGCTAGCTGACTTTCCTTGTGTTGAGTAGAGTAGACTGTTATAAGTTCTACAAACAGACAGTGTTGGTACATGTACGTGGAAACATCATAAGCATCATGTTGAAACTCTTTGTCTTGAGTAGAGCAGGCTATAAGTTCAACACTGGGACCATTTTGTTACCTGTATGTGGAGACTTATAATGACTGAAATCTTCCAAACCTCTCCCCAGACCAACCCGACCCGCCTAAGAAGGTGGACATCACAGAGATCACTCCCATCACGGTCTCGCTGGCGTGGGTGAAGCCGGACTACGACGGCGGATCACGCATCACGAGTTACGTCGTGGAGAAACTTCGCACCAGCGTGGAGGACGCCCAATGGGAGCGCTGCACGGTCCTCAGCCTCACACGATGCACAGTGACCGACCTCGTCCCGCACGAGGAGTACCGCTTCCGCGTCTCCGTGCAGAACTACGGAGCCATCAGCGAGCCCAGGGAGACAACCGCTGTCGTCTGCAAGGAACAGATTGGTAAGATGTCTGTTCCTTCCTTCTAATACATGTACATGTACATCAAGGCCTTTAGAACTTACAAATCTGAAAGCATATTGTATGCATACATAGTTACATAGTTTAACAAATTCTGATACCTATACATGAGGTGTACATTCAATCAATAGAATCATTAATTTTGGTATTTCCAATAAAAAGTTTTTTTTTACATGAGTTTAGGCAGATCACATATATACTAGGTGATGTAGTTTGACATGATCTAACATGTATGAAATGCATCATTTCTATAAATGTGAGTTTGCTGATATTTTCATGATCATTGTACATTCATACAGTCATACACTTTACAATGTATATTTGCTACCATTGCTAAGGTGTAACTCTCCTAGTTCCTCCCCTAGTTCCCGCCTCTATTGACCTGAGTGCTGTGACGTCCGATGTCCTGATCCTGAAGGAAGGACAGGACTTCATCCTGAAGCTGCCGTACCACGGCATGCCCACCCCCGCCGTCACCTGGTACAAGGTGTGTCACCTGGTATACTTGTCGTTAGTGCTGTGTACCTAAACCCACGTTTAGGTTCAGGTCCGGATTCAAGTCCAGATGTTTAGGTTCAGTTCCGGACTTGTAAGTCCAGACCTAAACCCCCAGCATATACAAAATTGCATGTTGGCAACCTTGCAATGTTCTCTGGGTGAAACTGTGGCCACATAACATGGAGGCCGGCACTTGACAATGCCCGATGGCCTTTGCGACAGTTCCACAAAAGTGTGTGTGGAGCAAATATCACGTATCATGTGTATTATTTGATTGTTAACCCTTTGTGTAAACACTGGTCACTTTAAATTTGGAAAGTCACTTTCCAAATTGTGGCTAAAGTCAAAATTTTTAGAATTAAAGAACAGCAAAGTTTTATACATCATTGGAAAGGGCACTTCTTCCTCTACATTATGGTGTTTTTATTTTGGTCATATCACATACGGTTGTTGAGATATTTGACGTTTAATGTTGTCGAGCCTAGTAGTCTGAGTGGAACAGACTGGTAGTCCATTGCCTCAGACTACAAGTCCAGCTAAGTCAGCCTAGTAGTCTGAAGGATGTTGGCCTACTAGTCTGAAAAAGGCAGCCTACTGTGGTACAAGTCCATGCTAGACTGTAGAAATCCCTTGAATTCATGCCATCGCTGCTTTCAAGCAATGCAGAGGCAATGTATATTTTGGGCTCTGGAGACCCCGTATTACACCCAAATGACCTGGAATTTAGTGGAGGGGTGCCTTGAAGATATGCGCAATTAATGTCATTCATGTTTTTGGCATACACCAGTGTAAAATAGTGTAAATAGGTCTTTTCTGCTATTTTCAGACAAAAAATATACATTTTTGGCTCCTATGCTCTAATATTAGAACCAAACGAGGTGAAACTTGATATCCGGGTACATAAGGCAAATGGCCAAAGAATCCCATTGGCTTTTTTGGCACACACCAATTTAAAATGGTGTAAAATTGGTCTTTTCTGCTATTTTCAGATAAAAATGTACATTTTTGGCTCCTGTAGCCTTAAAATACAACCAATTGACATGAAAGTTGGTATAGGGGTGGCTAGGGCATATGCCAAAAGAATGACATTTGCACTTTTGGCATACATCACTTAAAATGGTGTAAAATAGGTCATTTCTGCTATTTTCAGACAGAAAATGTACATTTTTGGCTCCTATGCTCTAATATTACAACCAAACAAGCTGAAACTTGATATAGGGGTACATAAGGCAAATGGCCAAAGAATCCCATTGGCTTTTTTGGCACACACCAATTGAAAATGGTGTAAAATTGGTCTTTTCTGCTATTTTCAGATATAAATGTACATTTTTGGCTCCTGTAGCCTTAAAATACAACCAATTGACATGAAAGTTGGTATAGGGGTGGCTAGGGCATATGCCAACAGAATGACATTTGCACTTTTGGCATACACCACTTAAAATGGTGTAAAATGGGTCATTTCTGCTATTTTCAGGCAATAAATGTACATTTATGCAACTAAATGACCTGGAATGTGGTATACAGGTGCAAAATATGCATACAGGATGTTTTTCCCACTTTGGCATACATTACTTTAAAATGGTGTAAATGTGTCTTTTCTGCTATTTTCAGACAAAAAATGTACATTTTTGGTTCTTGTGCACTCATATTTCAGCCAAATGACCTCAAATTTGGTATAGTAGTGCCTAGAGCATATGCCTACAGAATGTTCTTTACAATATTGGCATACACCACTTTAAAATGCTGTAAAATAAGGTCTTTTCTGATATTTTCAGACAAAAATGTACATTTTTGGATCCTGTACCCTTATATAACAACCAAATTACCTACATTTTGTAAAATTTGGTATAGGGGTGCCTTGAACATATGCCCAAAGAATGACACTTTGGCACACACCACTTGAAAATTCTATAAAACAGGTCTTTTCTGCTATTTTTAGATAAAAATGTACATTTTAGCTCCTGTGCCCTAGTAGGCCTTAAGTATTACAGCCAAATGACCTCGAATCTGGTATAGTAGTGCCTAGAGCATACATGTATGCTCCTGTCTTTTGCAATATTGGCATACACCACTTGAAAATGCTGTAAGATTGGTCTTTTTGGGGTGTTTTCAGAGAAAATGCCAAAAGAACTTTTTGTTTGGCATGTTTGGCCACAGTTTTGGCATGCAGCACTTTAAAGTTTTGTAAAATAAGTCTTTTCTGCTATGCCTAAGGAACAAAGCCAGCATTGCTGTGACCAGTAGCTGGTGTCCACAGGCAGCCTTTGTTTGTTTAAGGATAACAGGCATGACAGATGGGTTTGTAATAGTACAATCTTTCAGAGGAAGGGTCAAAGGGGTCATTGTTGGCCCCCTCCTAGGGGAAGCCAAACACAGTACAATGTAAATGAAGCGGATCTTAGGAAGAACAATATGTAATGCCTAATGGTCTTTAGGCAGATTTATAAGCTTTGAATATCTGTTCATGATTCTGTCTTTAACTTTCTAAAGGTCAAGCAGGTGTATGCAATGTGTGTATAAGTACATGTTATTATTATAATTGTAGCTCAGTATTTCACTTCTACCTATAAGAGCATTCAAGTTCATGAACTATTCAAATGGGTTCCAAAACCTATATGTACATGATATCCATGTTAGGGTGGCTTTGGGAGAGAAGTTGCAAGACTTCCATGGTCACTGGGTGTACCTTGGATAAATCACTTAGTTACGCCTGCCATCCTTCTGGCATGTAGTACATGTGTATGTCCTTATTAGACCCCACTGTTATCTGGAGCCTTAGCTAATGGAATTGGGAAATGAAATCCCTACATGCTACCAATGATTTTTACAATGTGTCAGTTTTAAATTTTGAAAAAAAGAAAGAGTGCTTTGGCCCGCAAGCCAAGATAGGGAAGCACAGACTGGCAGAGTTATGAACAACAAACACTATATATACCAAATACAGATTCACCGGCCACGTTACATGAACAGTTGGTTTGTTTTACATTGTGATGTACAATTGTAACATTCCTTGAAGACACCAGCAATATATTTACACTGAGTTGAAATGTTTTTCCTCTCACAACATGGGTATATGGTTTGAGCAAGGACAGAATGTCCTTGCTTTGAGACAGTGGTTGACTAGTGCAGCCTGATACATGAGTCTTGAACAGGCCTTGGTTAATTTGGTGTGATGACCTCCACTACAGTGAGCTTCCCAGCTGGGAGTTAGAATATCCTATATACATGTACACATGTACAATGCACATGCAAGCGACAGGAAAATGGTAAAGGTAGCTCCAAAGAGGCCCTTTGTGTTGAATTTACTTTACATTATATCTTGGACATGGTAGTAGGAAGAAGAGGCATTGAAAAATTATAACATAATATTTATTATTATCAAAGTGGTAATATCACACCAGTGCCTTACAGCATGGAGTTCTCTATGCTTACAGTAAGTCTAAAGGGAGCTGACCAGAATGTGGCCTTATGACTGAGTGTGAAGTGAATTGGACAGGTGCAGCATATGCGCGCACATATCAGGCTTTGGCAAGTGGCACATACACGTGTACATGTAGCCACATGGTGGTGACATTTTGTCACTGCATGGTCCCCCATTTTCTTTGAGTATCAGGTACTTTTTAAAAAGCTAGCGCTGCTTAAAGAGCCTAGTTTACCAGTACTACAGAGGTCAAAACTCAAAGAACTGACTGGAAAGTGTCTGCAGTTACAAGTGTCTGATCTGCACAGGACGGGAGAATTTTCAGCAGATTTTTCAAAATGGCCTGTCCATATGAAGAGAGCCAGAGTGAAATACTCCCAGGTGAGCCTACTTTACTTTACAAGAGGTTTGATAAGCAGCAATGTTACAACATGTAGTAATGAGTGACTGTGTTTCTTTATTTGGTTCAACCTTTGTTGATAAAGATCTCAAGTTGGCCTGCTGATAATGAACTGAATATTGTGAATGCATTCTGTATCCTACCTTCACCTAGCATTGTTATAAACAATACCAATGTTTGTCATCTACACATGTATACACAGTAACCTTTTTGACAGCTGATCTGATATGAGTCCTAAGGTCCAATTAAAGCTTGCCCATTGCTTAAAAGTTTACTACAAATGATATACATTCAATGATTTTTCTTTCCACAAGATTGTCCAAGTGACACTGAAGACATGTCTTCATTTTTCCTGTGCGATGATGACAAGGAAGAGTATGACATCTGTGCTTCAGATGAAGGTACATGTACATTGTTACAGTAAGGAACATGAACATTTAGTGAATTCTACCCAGACTTCAGAGATTTACCTCTATTACTGCTGAGGTATATATTATGATGCATTCAATGTACTACTACATGTTTTTGCATTTTTCCTAGGCCTGTGTGATGATGACTTTTATGACAGTCAAGAAGAGTATGACTCGTGTAGCAGTGCTTTGGATGAAGGTAATCAACACAAACAGATGAAGATAGTTCATTGTGCTTCATAGTTATAAGTAACTCAATGATAATAAAATTTGGGAGTGATGATTAAATTCAGCCTATTGGACAGTAAGTCTACATGCCACTATTTGTATTGAACAATATACTGACTGTTGTAATATTTCTCTTTACCAAGGCATTCAAGTTAAATACAAAAGATGACATATCTTTTACTTCCTCACAGAAGAAACAGAAGACGTCTTTCATGAGTTCATAAGTGATCCAGTTCAACAACCATCCACTTCAAAAGAAGGAACAAAGGAACGTCATCTGGGTATGTACATGTAACCTTTCACACACACACAAAAATTATACGTATTTTGCATATGATTTCTTATACAATTATGGTCTCCATATAATCAAATCAACCTCAGTCCTGTACTGACCATTTGGCCATCATGCTGCCTCTCAATGGGGGCCTGCATGGGGGGTCCAGACAATGCTCTGCACTAAATTTTGAGAACTGGCTAGTAGTACGTATTGCGCTGAATTCAGGAAAACTTTCGATTACGCTTTATGATAA